TATACTTACTTCACTGATGTCTGTAAATTAGTGCATAAGTTGTTGTTTTTCTCATTCACGGTAGGTACGTGTGGTCGGTGCCAATGGAATGCAATCTGATAGGTTTGTGTGCTTCATGTTGAATCTTTTGATCTTACTCTTCATATCTTCGTTGGTATTATTTGTTTCTTTTTGAATGGATGTTTAGAACGCGTTTTAAAGTTCATAATTATGCCGCTAATGACTGCTAATATCTGGGTTTCTGTGATGGAGTTATCGTCAAGCTGGTGTGGAACAGAGCGCATAAACAATACCTGTCATTTTCATTGTTGTAGAGAGATTTCCTATTGTTTGTCGGTACACGAGAACTGGTCATGTTGTCGTGTGATCAATGTCGTTCCCTTTTTCAAACCAGTACGTTTCTGAATCTGTGTAAAGTCATCACTAGTAGACAGATAGATCCTCAGTGTCTGATGAGTTCAGCTCATCATCATCATCATCATCATCATCATCATCATCAAATATGTTTTCTTTATTTTGAAGAAATACTCATATTCTTGCCAGAGGAAGATTCTTATCAACAACAGTGATTCATTTTCTTCCGGGAGGACATTTTCATTGTTCAAAATTGTCGCTTCAGTTGAAGTTATAAGTCTGGTTTTCTGACATCGTGTTCCTTACCTGACCGCATACAGAGCCTGGTATAACTGACCACTGTGTACCTTCATCGCTTGCTGATAAACTGTCCATATATATGTGATAAAATTGATACTTTTTATACATTTTAATTTATTGAGGCACATTGCTGAAACATTTTATAAATATCCCTTTGTATAGATACATAATTATATAGAATTATTTATAAACTAAAGTGATAATCGTACGTAAAAAGGCTCACATTATGACATTATTAAAAAAAAGTCCATATGAAGCTTACCTTTCATATAGGCAGCTTTTCATTTCTTCTATGTTTAGTTTAAAAGTTGTCGATAATAAGCGTTTCACCTTGTCGAAGTTGTGATTGGCATTTTACCTTAGCGAATTTGTGAATGGCGTTTTACCTTGGCAAAGTTGTGAATGGCGTTTTACCTTGGCAGAGTTGTGAATGGCGTTTTACCTTGGCGAAGTTGTGAATGGCGTTTAACCTTGAAAGAGTTGTGAATGGCGATGTCCATCTGTGTTTCATCGTGTAACGTGATTTGATGTCTTCATGAGAAATGAACCTCGCCTACTTTAGGGATTGGATGACGTCTCTTAGACTTCATCCTGGGAAAAAAATTATCAGAATATCAAACAATCACGTTAAATGCACTGAAATTTAAATACTAATGCCACTGAAAGACTCATATTGGTTCTTTTTAAGAACGAGAGAAAACATACGAGTTGGATGCCGTGCATTTACAAGTTTTTTTAGGTCACCTGAGCTTTTAACTCAAGTGACCTATTGCTATATCCGTCTTCGTCCGTCGTGCGTCGTGCGTCGTGCGTCGTCCGTTAATATTTTACATTTTCAACTTAAGCTGAAATACTGTCAAAGAGATTTCATTGATACTTCATAGGAATGTTACTGACAACTCCCTGACCACGTGTTGATTTTTTCGGGTCAATCAGAAATCCAATATGGCCACCACGGCAGCCATTTTGAAAAACTATTACAAACTTAAAGTCAAGTTCAGCTGGGCCGATTTAACTGAAACTTGGTAGGAATGATCGACTCATGGTCCTGATAAAGTGGGTTTTTTGGGGGGTCACTCAGAAATCTGATATGGCCGTTACGGCCACCATTTAAAAAATACTATTTCAAACTTAAAGTCAAGTTCAACTGGGCCATTTTAACTGAAACTTGGTAGGAATGATCGACTCATGGTCCTGACAAAGTGTTGTTATTTTTGGGGTCTATCATAAATCCAATATGGCTGCTGAGGCCTGCCATTTTGAACAACAATTTCAAACTTAAAGTCAAGTTTAACTGAGCCGATTTAACTGAAACTTGGTAGGAATGACCGACTCGTGGTCCTGACAAGGTGTTGTTATTTTTCGGGTCGATCAGAAATCCAATATGGCCGCCATTTTAAAAAACTATTTCAAAATTAAAGTCAAGTTCTACTGGGCCCATTTAACTGAAACTCGGTCTAGGAATGATCAACTCATTGTCCTGACAAGTATAACTTTATTTAATCAAATTTTGGTAGGGATGATTGACATCATTATCTCCACTACATATTTCAACAACAAAAATTAATACTGTAGGACTCAGGTGACCGTTAAGGCCCATGGGCGTCTTGTTTTTTGTGTTTACGTATTTCATATTTTTGTTGTTACAGCTGTGATAAAGCGAAATGGTATTTGTAGTTAACTTTGGGAAGTAGCAACATTCATAATACTTTACTCATCAATATTTTATTTCTGAAGATGTTAATAAAGTACGAGGCAGATGAGACTGTGCAGAGCTTAGCGAAGATTTTTTCCGGGTACCATTCCCCAAAAAGGTGTGATGTTCACTTCCCAATCACATGAGTATACTGGTACAACCACTGATAATCTCATTCCGTGTTTCTAAGATTTCCTACCATATCAACCCAATTCCCCCATCCCTACCTCAACCCTACCCCCGCCCTACATGTAGAGCTGAATATGCGTCTCTCTGGCTAAAGCAAGAATTTTGGTATGAAAATGTGAAACTTTTCCAAGGTCAAACAGCTGGGAGAGGAATCGTTTTCGTTTCCTAATAATGATCAATTTAAACTTGAAAAAATAGTTGGGGGGGGGGGGGGGGTTGAGTAGTAAGCAGGAGAAATGAAAGAAAGGGAACTTGAGAGAAGGAGAATCTTCTGATCTGTATTATCAATATTCATAAGAACTAGTAGCATATTTGAACGTAAATTGACAGGGTTGGGGGTTTGATAAGGTCAGATGATAGAGAGGTCCAGTCGTTTATAGGTCTAGTCCGCGGAAAGAATTATTCTTTCTTTGCAGAACTACGACAAGATATATCTGGACTGATCAGTTGCTGAGGACGATCTCGTTAACGTTAACATCTGACTATAGAAGAAGCCCAATGTGTCATTCACTTTGTTGGTAATACCAGGGAATTAGATTAGATGCTATCTATAAGTCCGTGGTAATACTAACATTGCATCCCATTTCATGTCAGATCTAAATAATGGTAACCCCTATACATATTTAGCCTCGTTCACATGTTAGTTAGTGGGGGGGG